AGGAGCTGTGGCTCGCTTGCTCTAGAGCGCAGGCTCAGCAGTTGTGGCACACAGGCTTAGTTGCTCTGTGGCATGTGGGATCTTCCTGGACCAGGGCTCGAACCCGTGCCCCCTGCATTGGCAGGCGGGTTCTTAACCACTGCACCACCAAGGAAGTCCTGTATCTAGCTTTTGATAAGTATAATGTTTTTAAGATTCATCTGTGTTGCATCTAACAGTAGTTCATATCTTATTGCTGAGTTGTGTACCATGATCTAAATATATCACAATTTGTCCATTCACCAGTTAAAAACCATTAGGGTTGTTTCCAATTTTGAGCTAGTGACTAAAGCAGCTCTAAACATTCATAGTTTTTTGGTGGACATATGTTTTCATTTTTCTTGAATTACTGGATCAAATGATAAGTGTATGTTTTAAGTGTATAAAAAGTACAAAACTATTTTATAAACAGTTTTCCTTTCTACACTCTCACTTTGGTTCCATTTGCTCTACATCCTTACCAACTTTTGCTGTTGTTGTTTTGTAACAACTTTTTAGTCATTCTAATAGGTGTGAAGTGTTACCATTGTGGTTTTCATTTGCATTTTCCTGATGACTAATGATAGCATCTTTTCATGTAGTCATTTGGACAAATTCTTTTGTGAAATGTCTCAAGTTTTATTTTTTTTAATTGAGTTGCTTTCTTGTTGAATTGTAAAAATTCTTTATATATTCTGGATATAAGTATTTTTTCAAACTCTTTGTAATTTAAAAACATATTTTTTGAAGATCAGAATTGTTTTTAATGAAGTACGTCTGTCCCTTGGTATCCATGGGAGATTGGTTCCAGCACCTGCTGCGATACCAAAATGGAGTATGCTTAAGTCCCATACTTGGCCTTCCATATCCAGAGTTTCATGTCTTCAGATTCAACCAACCATGGATCATGTAGAACTGTATTTATTGAAAAACATCTCTGTATACACAGTTCAAACCTGTGTTGTTCAAGGGTCAACTGCATAATTTTTTTCATTTTTCTTACGGTTAATGATTTTTGTATATTGTCTAAAAAAAGTTGCCTACTCCAAAATTATAGAGATTTATTCTGTATTTTCTTCTAAAAGCTTTCTTGTATTAGCTTTCCCTTTAAGGTCTATAATCTATCTCACACATGGCTATCCAGTTGCTTTAGTATCATTTCTTGAAAAAGGCTATCCTTTTTTTCGCATTGAATTACATTGGCATCTTTGTCAAAAATGACTTGACCAAATACGTAGCGGGGAGGGATTATTTCTGGACTGTATTCTGTATTTATGCTAAATCACATTGTCTTGATTACTGTAGCTTTATCTTTTCTCGAAAAATGGTCATTAAAAGGAATGAAGTATTGATACATGGTACAACATGGATGAACCTTGAAAACATAAATAAAAGAACCCAGTCACAAAAGACCATATTTTGTATGATTCCATTATTTGGAATGTCCAGAATAAGCAAATCTATAGAGACCTGAAGTAGATTAGTGGTTTCCTAGGGCTGTGGGTTGGGAGAAAATGGGGAGTGGCTGCTAATGACTATGGGGTTTTGGAGGGAGGGGGGTGAGGGGGGATGGAGGGTGATGAAAATGTTTTGAAATTGATTGTGGTGTTGATTGCACAACTCCTCTGTGACTATACTAAAAACTGTTGAATTGTACATTTTAAGTGGGTAAATTGTATGAATCCCCCATTGAATTGCTTCCAGTTCACCATTAAATGGGTGAATTGTAAATGAATTATATCTCAAGAAACCTGTTATCTGGGCAAAATAAATCCCAGTGGGCTTTTCTCTGGAAATTGAAAAGATTATTTTAAAATTGTATGGAAATTTTAAAGAATAACCAAAACACTTTAGAAAAAGAAGTAAGTTGGGAGACATTTTTGTTAATTTTCTTTTATTGTTTGACTCTTTTCCATTTAACTGACTTCTTTTTATTCTTTCCTTATACTTACTTTGGCTTTAATTTGCACTTGCTCTAGTTTCTGAAGAAAATTTAGATGATTTTTAAACCTTTCTTCTTTTCTAATATAAAGTCATAAATTTTCTTCTAAGTACTTCTTTAGTTGCATCCTACAAATTAAGGTTATATTTTTCATTACCATTTTGCTAGAAATATTTTCTAGTTTCCTCTGTCATTTTCTTTAACCCATGGCTTATTTAGAAGTATCTAATTTCCATCTGTTGGAGATTTATAAAATATTTTATTGATTTACAATTCCATTGTGGTAAGAGAACATACTCTGTAAGATGGCAGTCTTTCAAATCTTGGTGAGTCTTATTTTATGACCCAGTATCTGTTCTATCTTGGTGCATGTTCCTGCACACCAGTAAGAATGTATATTTTGCAGCTGTTGGGTAAAGGGTGGTGTATCTGATTGCCTTTTATGTTTTATCTCCTTTGGTCTTTAATAGTGTTTTATCACACAGTAGAAGTGTTGAGTAAAAACAAATTCTCCATTTTAACTCTGTGAGATAGTGCTAACTAAGAAGGTGATGGTGTTCCTCACCAAATGCAAAATTTAAATAATCAGTTATTTCATTGTACTGTGAATCTGTTCTGCTGTAATGGGGGCTTGAGAGTGGTAAACTAATAGTATGAACTATTATGGTCAATTTTGCCTATAGATAATTTTTTCAGGCCAAAGATATTTGAGCAAAAACATTTTGTTTCAATTTCATCATGAATTGTAATTTGAAAAATTAAAACATAAACTACCAAGTAAATAAGTCATTTTGGCAAAAGATGAATACTTAAATTTGATAAAGAAAAACTAGGTGGATTAGATATTCACGTGAATCTATGTAAGATGTGGGGCTTAACATTTGTATTTCAAATCTAGTAACACAAGGTTTAGATTCTACCTTGAATTCTAGAATGTTCTTTCAATAATCTTGAGCTTTGAGTAGACAGAAGTTTTAACCAGAATGTCACAGTATGTTCAGTTACAGTGGTGTAGTAGAGTCCCTGCTGGGAAACAAAGGATTCTGTGTACCAGAGCCAGATGCACAACATTCCAGAATGAAAATTAGAGGGCCACACAAGAAACTGATTCAGGACAAGCCAGAGCAGTCATTTTTTTTTTCCTTGACTTATGTTTGTTTTTATCTTTAATATCCCATAACTTAAAGACAATGATATAAAATTAATAATACTTAACACTATGATATATGATCTTATGTTACATGATAAGGAAATAAGAGAGGGAAGAAAACAAAGATATTTTAATAAAAATGTATCCTGAAGTAAATAATGAAGAAATACTTACGACAACTACGGTGCTTATTTCTTTAACTGGTCACATGGTCATAGGTGGTATTTGTAACTACTTTCTTCTGTTTTTTTTTTTTTAACATCTTTATTGCAGTATAATTGCTTTACAATGGTGTGTTTCTGCTATATAACAAAGTGAATCAGTTATACATATACATATGTTCCCATATCTCTTCCCTCTTGCGTCTCCCTCCCTCCCACCCTCCCTATCCCACCCCTCTAGGTGGTCACAAACCACCAAAATGATCTCCCTGTGCTATGCGGCTGTAGTGAGGTGGATGGACCTAGAGTCTGTCATACAGAGTGAAGTAAGTCAGAAAGAGAAAAACAAATACCGTATGCTAACACATATATATGGAATCTAAGACAAAAAAGGTCATGAAGAACCTAGAACCTAGGGGTAAGACGGGAATAAAGACACAGACCTACTTACTAGAGAAATGGACTTGAGGATATGGGGAGGGGGAAGGGTAAGCTGTGACAAAGTGAGAGAGTGGCATGGACATATATATACACTGTCATATTTTTAATATGTTTTCCTTCTGTTAAAAAAGTTCAACCAGTTGAGCGATACAAATTGTTGGGTATTGTGGGTCCAATATAGTATTGATGTGTGGCCTTTATGTCTGAGACATATGGACATTTAATTAGTTCTCTTCATCGACAGGGGTGATTTGGGGGCAGTTTCACTTTCTTGGACACATGTGCCTGATTATCAGAAGGTTCTCGATAAGTTTTGCATATAACCTTGCCATCTGCTTATCTGTGAAACAGCTGTTTCCTTTATGCATTATTTTAAAGTAGCCTGCTCTATATGGCTTCCCAAACTCTTAGGATACTTGTTTTTGCATCTTGAAGACCTCCTTTGTGTATTGAAAGCAGAGAAGCAATTTTAAAAGCTATTTCCCCCCCAAAAAATATATTAGATTATTAAAATCTTGGATTTCCCAGCAGTGTTTTCATAGAAAAAGATACACATTCTGTTGATCCTTTTCTCATGATGTTTACTCTTTTTAACTCTGCAACAGATATAGAGGGCAGGGGTTCTTTATAAGAGCCAAGAGCAGGTGGCACTTGAGGTCCTGCCAGAAAGGTTCACTCTGTTACAGAAGATGTTATTTTTAGGAAGAGGTTATGGTGCCCTGAAATGTTTGAAAACGAACGTCTGTAGGGAATTCAAAGTAACAGTCTGTGCTCTTGAAGCCTCTAGTCTTGTGGATAAGACAGAAATATATAAAAACCTAAAAAGCAGTATAAACAGGTTATATTGAGTTGCAAATGGTTTGCAGTGTGAGTGCTGAAGATACCAGAGCAAAGGAAATCCCTGTGGCCATGACAGGGTTGGGTTGAACACTGGAGGCTGAGTATTTTGAGAAACAGAAGGAAAGCAGTGTTAAGGCCATTTCTTGTTCTTCAGCCATCTCTGACTCATTGTATATTTTGGTAAGGAATGGATTACCTCATTTTTTTTTTTTTTTTTTTTTTTTTTTGCGGTACGCGGGCCTCTCACTGCCGTGGCCTCTCCCGCTGCGGAGCACAGGCTCCGGACGCACAGGCTCAGCGGCCATGGCTCACGGGCCCAGCCGCTCCGCGGCATGTGGCATCCTCCCGGACCGGGGCATGAACCCGTGTCCCCTGCATCGGCAGGCGGACTCAACCACTGCGCCACCAGGGAAGCCCCTACCTCATAATTTTTATCTTCTCTTTGCAGCCTGAAGAGTTGAGAGAAATCATTGAGAAGACTAGAGAGATGGAGCAGAACAATGGCCACTACTTTGACACAGCAATTGTGAACTCGGATCTTGATAAAGCCTATCAGGAATTGCTTAGGTTGATTAACAAACTTGATACTGAACCTCAGTGGGTGCCATCCACTTGGCTGAGGTGAAGGAAACATCCATTCTGTGGCATGATTGGACTTGATCTGGCAAACTGCCAATAGGAAGATAGCCCTGATACTTGAGCAAGTCTCTGAGAAGGTGGCAGGCAGTATAAATTGTAGACCTGTTCTTAGATCTTGAACTAGTGAGAAGAAAATCCCCTTAGGCAATTCATTAACAGCATTCTTTATTCTCTGTACATGGCTTTAGAGGTTCTTGCCTCATTTGGGGATTTTAAATGGAAGTTTTCAACAGAGCAGTTCCATTTTATCCACATAAAAACCTTTTAATTGTTTTCACCTAACCAACTCTTTTCTGCCTAGTCATATTTCCATGAAAAACTTTTGTGTGTATACACAATGGTCCATGTCTCACATAGTAATAAATATTGATGTTATTTAACAGTTAACTTAAATGACTTCATGGGAATTTGTGGGTGAAGGGAAACTGCTTCTGTGCACTGGGCAAGACAACAGTATTTGGTTAGTCACCAGAACTACTTTAAAAAAAAAATGGTGCCACTTTGGTCTGGAGCTACTCTGTTTGTTAGGCTTGAATTCATTTGTATGTCTTTTAATTCATAAAAACATTCCGTTAGAAGCACCAATTTTTAAGCTCAAACTTGTGGATCAGACTTCACTGCACACGTGAAAGGTTTATGCAAAGATCACACCTGTTTTAGACTCTGATCTACAACATGTACAACATATGCTGATCTTTTTAAAGGTATAATGATTTTCTGAATTTTTTTCTCTAAATCGTTGCAACTGATTGGGTAACTTTTACTTCCTTTTCCTGATCTGCATAGTACAACAGAATGTATAAGTTACATTTTTATGAATGGCAGATATTCATATAAACTCTGTTGACTGTTGTTTCTTCCTCATGATGCAAATAGTTTTTTACATGCATAAAAGGACATAGCACATTTGACAGTTTTTTCATTTTTATATATGAGCACAGTATAATTTGATGACTGTGCTATATATGTAGGTAATAAACTGGAATTCTGTGATCAGTATAGTTGCTGTACTGTATACTAATATTTAATAGATTGACAAATGGTCATTGATTATACTTGTTCAGCATTGGAATAAAATTATATGAGGGAAATGATATGACAATTGACTTTGAGATCAGAAGGAAATGATGACCTGAAAGTCATTTGAACATTTTAGGAAAAGAACATCGCAGGGCAAAAGTTAAGCATATAGAAATAGGTTTTTATCCTGATAAGGTCTGCCTCTTATGATCAGAATGCAGTAAGCTAAATCATAAAACATTTAAGCTAATGAAACTTTCATACTGTCTCTATTAGCTTGTAGCTTTAAAATTCAACTTCTGTAATTGGCATGGAAAGTTAATTTGTAGTATTTTCAAGGCTTAAGGGATGGTGTGATGTGTGACAAACAACCTCAAATGTGAATGTCTTGATTTTATTTATATGGTGACTTTAGCTACAATTCCTGTTCCCAAAGCTAAACACTGGAATAATACTGAATTGTCACTTAATTTAACATAAGCAACTGTTTTTAATGAGTAGTTTGTCTCAGTGTCATGTACATACTTGAGTTTTTCTCCTTTGCATAATATTATTTGAACAAATTGTAGACAGTTTATATGCTGCCTTTTTCTGTTGAAATTCACATGGCCTCAAAGTTGGCTGTGGAATATATCTTGTGTGGAAATACTTTCAAGATAATGTTCCTTAGGAAGAAAGTAACATTCCTAGGTTGAGGTAAGGAATGCCATACATACTGTCTCTTCAGGTCTGAAACACTCCAGTTTATGGCAGGAAAATGCAAAGGTCACAGTGATTTTCAGCACTGAAAAAAAGGCACTGTAAGTACTTAATCTTTTCAGTTTTCCAGTTTACTTTCTCTTTAGGAATGAAAGGTAGTCTGTGGTAGACAGTGGAGTTTTGTGAGCTGCTTATCATAACTGACAACTATTTTCAACCCTAAGATCTAAAACATTTGCAGTTTGAGTCAAGTTAGAATGAGATTTCAGGTGGTGTCAGTAAGTGGCTGCTGCGCTAGTCCCTAAGTTACCTGTAGACCACAGGGCCAACACTAGGGCCATGTGCTGTGCAGACTCAGGCATGGCTTTAACAGGCAAGTCCAAGTCCCCTACCGAGGCACATGCTACGCCGTAGTATACTTCTTAAAAATCTAAGCTGATGAGGTATTTTGGGGATCAGTTAAGTCCTATATATTTTTCTCCTTCCTCATCAGCAGTGGTAGAGGGATAGAAATGTTTATATCCCAGCTTGCCTCAATCCTGGTGATATGGATGTGCTGATATTCAACATAGTCCCTACAAAGTGAAAACTGAGTTGTTGCTGACTTCCTTGAAAGAAAATGGAAAAAAGCCTTGCTCTCCACCTGGTTGTGCCCTACACTGCTCTGGCCAATTCCATTTCCCGTCCCTCTGTGGTTCTCATTGGAGACCCCAGTGTGGAGGGAGGTCTTAACCACTTATAGGAATGATACCAATCGCTAATGAAATGTACATTAGTTCAAGTAAGGAAATAATCTTCCTTTACTAAATTTCCTTAAGTCAGAACAAACAGAAAGGAGAATAGTGTTTAGATTAATCCAGATTTGCTTTCTATGAAAATCTAATGTCTGGATTTTTTTTTTTCCTTTTCTCATGGCCTAAGGAATAATTTGAATGTAATTCTGTGAATGTGTGTGGAAAATTTAAACCAGGGATTTAGCCTTAATAAAGGTAACCTTTTTGACATCTATTGTTAATTCTCCTTTGTACTCTTATCCTGCCTGTATCTGCACTCTGTTGTTTTGAGATGTAACACTGCACATTTTAATGTAAAAATAAAAAGTAAAATTATATTTCAAATTTTAAAAGTCACTGAATACTTTCTATATCCTCTGCCATTCAAGGTTTCAACACATGTAAAATGACCCACCCTTGTCTTCAAGTTTTGACAGAATCAAGTCCATTGGAACCTCTGGGTGAAACACAAATACGTTTTAATTTATTCTTCACAGTGGGGGAGTGCCCCCTACTGGCACAAATGTAGGTTCTGTTTCCTTAATTGTTTAAACTGTATTAAAGATGATTGATTGATTGATAGACAACTTAAAGCTGTGAACTCTGGAACTAGTTTTCTGGGGAAGAAGGTATGTAATACTCAGGCGAATTCCACTACATGCAACCACCGATTTGAGAACACTGAGGATAGGATGACTTGTTGACAAATATGTAACATTTTCATTCTACATTCTTCATCCCTCCCCTTTTTCTATAATACCCACTCTGTATCTCCCAGAGGAGGCCAATCATGTACCAGAAAGTGTTTGTTACACATACACACACATGCTACCCCAGTCCAGCTTTCTATTCCTATTCCTGATCTACTCCCTTCCCATACAACTCCAATCACCCCAACCCTACCCAACAAATCTTCTGTCCACTCTTGTCTCTTTCTTTTTAACAATATGCTAAACTGTAAAATCTTCTGCACTTTTGTAGGGAAGGTAGCCAAAGCCAGTAAGTACCAGAGGTTTATGGTGCCACAGGAAAAAAATCTAGGGTACTTCTCTGGCTTAGTTCCTTAAGTTGAACATAAATTTATCCAAATGAAAACCCACGAAACCTGGCTCTCTGCATCTACTTTCCAGCTAATTTTTGCCTCCTACAGAGCCGTACATACATACATACCACTTAAGAACCAAGGCTCTGAAATGAAGATACATTTGGCCTGCCTTCCACCTGCAAAATGGAGATGATGGTATTTATAACTCACTAGAGTGTTGGGAGGATTAAATATTAAGCAGTTCATTGTTACCTATTTATTTTCAAGACTTATGAACTCAGTTGTTGGTTTTCCAATCACTACTGAATTTACGTTGAATCTGAGATTTTATTGTGAGCAGCAACAGGATTTCCTAAAAATCAGCTCCTCCAGGACAGGCCTTATGTCTTTACCTTTACCCAAAGTTTTTAACATAGGGGAGGCAAAAAGGATAGAAGTTAAGGATGTAAAAATTCTGAAGGTAGACTGCCTGGATTTAAATCTGGGATTCACCACTTCAAGCTCCTTGTGCCTCAAAATGTTCTTCTGTGAAATGCAGGATTAAAACAATACGTACCTCTTAATGGTTGTTGTGATGAAATAATATAGATAAAACACAAATGTCTAATACCAGTAAGCTATTTTATAGTAGGTCTTTGTTAAATGTATGCAACATTACTTTAAAATTACCTACTTTAAAATTAGCCTAGGCTGTGATTATCAGTTGATTTAAACACAATACGGTTAAGGCTAGTGTCACAATTTCACTAATTAAAAACTGTTCCATGGCCAATCATGTCAAACAATGCCTATAACTGAGTGCAGGAAAGCCTGAGTAATCATGGATGGCTCACACCAGATCAAACTACTAAAAACCTCAGTCAACCGATATGGTCATTCAAATGCCTCAAGTTGTTACTGATTATAAAATACTACAGTTACCTTATTACTCTCAAATGGGAATTAATTATTTTTTCTTAGAAAAAACAGCAGTAATAATAAGCCCTCTTAACTCATTGGCAATCATATTTATTAGTATCCCAAAATTCAACAATCACTCACCTCAGTAAGCTTATGAAGCGGGGGAAAAGGGAAGCTACCCACTTCATACATGTCTGCAGAGAAAGCTCTTTTTGGATACCAATCCCATGTGGTGATCTGAGCATAAGAACACAACTTAGCAGTAAATTCATTAAAAAAGGAACAATTCATTTTTAAATCATTTTACTGTATATTACCATAGTCACATTTGAATTGGCAGAACTGTTCCCATGACAGACAAGACAGACCTGTCATTCAAGGAAGAATAAGTGAAGGTTTTCATAATGTTTGAGAAGTCCCACAGTAACTAACACAAGGATGGCTACAGCAATCTCAGACAGTGGTGTGCAAGTAGGTAGGAACAAAGGGTGTTCCAGCAGTAGCTGGCATACGTGTGTTGGCCTGAGACCACTGCTGTTTCCTACGGGGAATTTCTTAATATGTTGGTAAGCAGGTCACTTGCAACAGACATGTAAGTGGAGTAGGGTGACACTTGGCAAAATAAATTCTATAAGTTTCTGGGCAGGTTTTCCAAATCTCACTGGTGATAAATGGTTGCTGAATTATGATTCTGCAAAGGTAATCCCATCAACAGACAACAGGGAATTTTACAACTGGTGAAATTCTTAGGCCAAAAATTAAATAGCCACGCATACCAAACCTACACACCGTGAATTAAAATGATGCCATGTTAGGCCTTCT